ACAGTGAAGGAGTGAGTCCACTGGTCCATGTTCTCCTGCAGTCAGTGAGACATAGATCTGAGTGTCGTCTGCATAGTTATGATAGGAAACTTTGTTTCTGCGTATTAACTGACCTAACGGCAGCATGTAGAGATTGAACAGAAGAGGTCCCAGGATCGACCCCTGTGGTACTCCACAGGTCAGGGCCATATGATCTGAGACAGAGTTTCCAATCTCCACAAAGTACTTCCTGTCTTCAAGGTAAGACCTAAACCAACTTAGGGCGGTGCCAGCGATGCCAACCCAGTCCTCTAGTCTCTGTAAGAGGATCTCATGGTCGACAGTGTCAAAGGCAGCACTCAGATCTAACAAGATTAAGATTGAGACTTTGCCTGCGTCAGTGTTCAGCCGGATATCGTTTGTAACCTTGACGAGAGCAGTCTCAGTCCTGTGGTGGGGTCTAAAGCCAGACTGTAACATATCAAATGAGTTGTTGATTATAAGAAATCTAGTAAGCTTTAGGTAGACAACTTTTTCAAGGACTTTCCCCATAAATGGCAGATTTGAGATGGGACGATAGTTGTTAAGTACCGTAGCATCCAGACTGCTCTTTTTTAGCAGGGGCCTGATGACTGCAGTTTTCAGGGCCTTTGGGAATATTCCAGAATTAAGGGACATGTTTACTATCTGTGTGAGTGAAGGTAACAGACTGCTCAGAACAGACTTTAGAAATCTAGTGGGTAGTACATCCAGGCTGCATGTGGAGGAGCTCAAACTGGAGATTATCTCTTGGACAGTTTTATCATTTATAGGTGCAAAGTGAGTTAGCTCAGAGAGCCTTTCTGGCTGTTGGATGGTTATCTGTGGATTGGAGACAATGGCGTTTTTGATGCCTTGAACCTTGTCATTGAAAAAATTAGCAAACTCATTGCATTTACGTTTGGAAGTTAGCTCTAATGGCATTTGAACAGGGGGGTTTGTTAATCTATTAACTGTTGAGAACAGAACACGCAGATTGTTGCTGCAGCCTTCAATCATTTCAGAAAAATACCTTTCTCTCGTACTACGTAGCACCCGGTTGATAATAATAATAATAATACATTTTATTTATAATGCACTTTATATTTGACACCAAATCTCAAAGTGCTACAAACAGGAGCATAAATAAAAGCAAACACATAAAATCAGATAAAAGACTATAAAAGAATTAGCAGTACGCTTTAGTAAAAAGATGGGTTTTGAGTCCCTTTTTAAAAACTTTCACCGTCTGTGGGGCCCTGAGGTGGTCCGGGAGGGCGTTCCACAGACGGGGAGCAGCGGCCTCGAAGGCCCGGTCCCCCATTTTCTTGAGCCGTGTCCTGGGCGGGAGCAGACGGTGCTGTTGGCCTGACCGGGTTCTGCCTGAGGAGTGTGGAGGGAGTCAGTGAGGTGGGGGCATCACCGTGGAGACAGTGGTGGGTGTGCAGGAGGATCTTATATTCTATACGGAGGTGAACGGGGAGCCAGTGGAGGGTGTGAAGGATGGGGTGATGTGCTCATGCTTCCACACCCTCATCAGGACCCTGGCCGCGCTGTTTTGTACGTACTGGAGCTTTTGAAGGCTCCTGCCAGGGATCCCGATGAGGAGTGCGTTGTAGTAATCCAACCTGGTTAAACTCGCACAACTTATCTTTGAAGATCTCGTAATCAACCTGGAGGTTGGACTTGCGCCACTTCCGCTCGGCCCTCCAGCACTTTCTCTTTTGTGCCCTGACCGAGTCTGCTTTAGCCCACGGCGCCTTCTGCTTATTTTTCACTATTTTAACCTTCACAGGGGCAACGGTATCCAGAACATTCAAAACACTAGAGGTGACAGAGTTAAACAGTTCATCTACAGTAGAATACGAGATGAACTTTTTCAAGGACTTTCCCCATAAATGGCAGATTTGAGATGGGACGATAGTTGTTAAGTACCGTAGCATCCAGACTGCTCTTTTTTAGCAGGGGCCTGATGACTGCAGTTTTCAGGGCCTTTGGGAATATTCCAGAATTAAGGGACATGTTTACTATCTGTGTGAGTGAAGGTAACAGACTGCTCAGAACAGACTTTAGAAATCTAGTGGGTAGTACATCCAGGCTGCATGTGGAGGAGCTCAAACTGGAGATTATCTCTTGGACAGTTTTATCATTTATAGGTGCAAAGTGAGTTAGCTCAGAGAGCCTTTCTGGCTGTTGGATGGTTATCTGTGGATTGGAGACAATGGCGTTTTTGATGCCTTGAACCTTGTCATTGAAAAAATTAGCAAACTCATTGCATTTACGTTTGGAAGTTAGCTCTAATGGCATCTGAACAGGGGCGTTTGTTAATCTATTAACTGTTGAGAACAGAACACGCAGATTGTTGCTGCAGCCTTCAATCATTTCAGAAAAATACCTTTCTCTCGTACTACGTAGCACCCGGTTGATAATAATAATAATAATACATTTTATTTATAATGCACTTTATATTTGACACCAAATCTCAAAGTGCTACAAACAGGAGCATAAATAAAAGCAAACACATAAAATCAGATAAAAGACTATAAAAGAATTAGCAGTACGCTTTAGTAAAAAGATGGGTTTTGAGTCCCTTTTTAAAAACTTTCACCGTCTGTGGGGCCCTGAGGTGGTCCGGGAGGGCGTTCCACAGACGGGGAGCAGCGGCCTCGAAGGCCCGGTCCCCCATTTTCTTGAGCCGTGTCCTGGGCGGGAGCAGGACGGTGCTGTTGGCCTGACCGGGTTCTGCCTGAGGAGTGTGGAGGGAGTCAGTGAGGTGGGGGCATCACCGTGGAGACAGTGGTGGGTGTGCAGGAGGATCTTATATTCTATACGGAGGTGAACGGGGAGCCAGTGGAGGGTGTGAAGGATGGGGTGATGTGCTCATGCTTCCACACCCTCATCAGGACCCTGGCCGCGCTGTTTTGTACGTACTGGAGCTTTTGAAGGCTCCTGCCAGGGATCCCGATGAGGAGTGCGTTGTAGTAATCCAACCTGGTTAAACTCGCACAACTTATCTTTGAAGATCTCGTAATCAACCTGGAGGTTGGACTTGCGCCACTTCCGCTCGGCCCTCCGGCACTTTCTCTTTTGTGCCCTGACCGAGTCTGCTTTAGCCCACGGCGCCTTCTGCTTATTTTTCACTATTTTAACCTTCACAGGGGCAACGGTATCCAGAACATTCAAAACACTAGAGGTGACAGAGTTAAACAGTTCATCTACAGTAGAATACGATGCATTCTCAAAGTGGTGGTGATGCTTCTATTAAAACTGCATTTCCTGAATTTTGGTCAAGCCATGTTTCAGCCATGAACATAAGATCAAGATTATGAGAACAAATAAAATTATTGATTAAAAAGGACTTGTTACAAAGAGATCTGACATTTAGCGTAGCAAGTTTCAAAGTTTCAGTATCAGCGGTTGTGGTCGGCTGATTCTTACACGGAACAAGAATTAGATTTTCCAGATTAGACTGATTAACTCCAGATGTTTTTCTGTAATGTATTCTTTGTGTTATCACTAAGGGAATGGCACAGGTGGCTTCATGACAGGGCCCCAGCCGGGTCTCTCCTCTAACTAGACTGCCAGTGGCTGCGAAGCAGAGACCCTGTGCATCCTAGTGTTTAGAGAAAAGAGGGGAAGGGGAAGGCGGGGGAGGAGGATGGAGAGGTGGGTGGCTTTTGGGTGTTGAACGAGGGGGGCAGGGTGGTGGAGGGGTTTTTGGTGATGGGTTAGGGCTGGGGTGGGCTGAGGCAGAGGTTTTGGGTGTTGAACGAGGGGGAAGTGGGGGTGGAATGGTCATGAGGTTAGGGGAGGGACTGGCTGAGGTGGTTTTTGTAGGTGAATTGGAAACCCTAGGTGGTTTTGGAGGTACATATGGGGAGTGGTTTAGAATGTTGGACAGGACTCTAGATCTAGCTAATATGGGTGTGAGATATTATACCAGCTACTGTGTGTGCAAACCTGGTAAAGACCTATAGTAATTGTTTGACCTCTGTAATATAACCTTTGTTGGCAATAACAAAGTATTGAGTTGAATTTTTGTTATTGACCAAGTACTTATTTTCCACCATAATTTACAAATAAATTCTTTAAAAATCCTACAATGTGAATTCCTGGATTTCTTTTCACATTCTGTCTCTCACAGTTGAAGTGAACCTATGATGAACATTACAGACCTCTGTCATTATTTTAAGTGGGAGAACTTACACAATCGGTGGCTGACTAAATACTTTTTTGCCCCACTGTACATGATCACACACATCAAAGAGAAAGAGAACATTGGACAAATCTGCTCAAAGGGAAACAGTAAAGTGTATGTTTGTATAAATACAGGCTACACTCTGAGCCACAGCCGCAGCACCAGTGCTTTCTCTCACTGCTGAATAATCAACTCAATCGCTCAGCGATAAGTGGCTCAGTTTTCTTTGTCCAAGCTTGTGAAAGAGTGTTTTATGGGCCACATTCCGCGTCTTGGCCCAGATTCACCGTTTAAAGTCCATTAGAGAACATTATGCTACATTTACTCTGTCAGTCGTGCCCCGGACAGAGTCAGACTCAGGAGCTACGTCCTAGAACCAGGACAGACCAGTGCAGACCAGGACAGACCAGTGCAGACCAGGACAGACCAGTGCAGACCAGGACAGACCAGGACAGAGTCAGACTCAGGAGCTACGTCCTAGAACTGTTCTTTTGAGGAAAAAGGCGGTTGTAATTATGCTCCATGTGAGGCCAGTGCAGACCAGTGCAGACCAGTGCAAACCAGGACAGACCAGGACAGGCCAGGACAGGCCAGGACAGGCCAGGACAGACCAGGACAGACCAGTGCAAACCAGTGCAAACCAGTGCAAACCAGGACAGACCAGTGCAGACCAGGACAGACCAGGACAGACCAGTGCAAACCAGTGCAGACCAGTGCAGACCAGTGCAGACCAGGACAGACCAGTGCAGACCAGTGCAGACCAGTGCAGACCAGAACAGTCTGTAGGACTGAGGTGATCACCTACTGTCTCCATAGCACCGCAGTGGGCCGACGTAGAGGACCGCCTGCGCCCCGGTCCGGTTGGTGTCTCCGATCAGCATCTCTGTCACAGGAAGGTGTTCTTTAAACGACAGCACTCCTGAATCGTTGGCCCTGTGAGAGCAGAAACACAAATGAAAGAAGAATGAGAGAGGCTTCCGGCTTCCACACTTTTGTTATGAAAGTCCAGATAAACGGGCCCATTCCTCTGCATTACCACCGAACGCTCAGTAAACACATTCAAATGGGCACAATCCATCACAAACAGACAAGAGCCAGTGGAAATATGCAAACGGAGCTCACTGTGGGGAAGGCGCCATGCATTATCCTCCCTCAATACAATACTGCCTTCTATTCTATTCTATGGCATAAAATGTGATTAGTTTGAATTGAGCTATAATGCACAATACACTCTAATTCAACTAGCAGCAAAACACAAAACTATGGGATTAAAGATAAAATGGTGTCTGATGTGGTGCTTCATAAACAGTGGAATATGGAACATTTTTTTATTGCAATGACATTTATGTTTTCCAAGATCAAAAGCTTGTACGAGTGTTTCATTTCTACTGAAGCAGATCGTGACCTTCAATCTTTTTTCTGAATCAGGTCTATTCAGTTAGAGTGTGCATGAATGAATATGTAGCATTTATTAAGGACTTCTAATACAATAATGAATCATTGGGACTAAAACCTGGTTCACATCAGGACCAAACTGAGGTCTAGCAGAACCGTGTGAAGGCTCCTTAAACTGTCCCAATATTCAACTAAACTATAACTAAATAACACCTAAAACCTGAGAGCAGTCGAACAGTGTATTTACTGTATAAGATTAAATATGTATTTTCAGTATGGAAGCCTCAGTGTCACGTCCTCACCATGTGTCTCTGTCGGCGTCGCAGTTGCAGAAGTAGTTCATGTCGGCGCAGTTTTCCTCCAGGCTGCACGAGCACTGCTGGACCCCGGGCAGGAAGCCGCCCCAGTAGCTCCGCCTCTCGCCGCCGCGGTCCAGCCACCAGGACAGAGGGCTGCCGTCTGCACACACACGGTCAGAGAGCTGTGCCACTGTCTGAAAACATCATTCTACAAACTTTAACTTGAAAGACCATTTCAGAGGCAGCAAACCTTTCTCCAAAAACAACAATGAGAATAAATCCAGGTGAATATTTCAGTGGAGGTTTGTGCTTAACTGAAGCAGATGAATCTACAGTGGTCACTACAACTGAAACATGAGCACAAATAGACACAACAAGAGACAGGATGCATCCTGGGAAAGAAATATCAAATGTTGACTGATGCTATGGTAAAGAATGTATTGTTACTAAGGTGGGGCGACAGTGGCTCAGTGTGTAGCATTGGCCTTTGAGCCAGAAGGTCGTGGGTTCGAGCCCAACTCAAGACTCTCTCCATCAACTCCCACTGATGTCGGCTGTCGTTGTGTCCTTGGGCAAGACACTTCCCCCACATTAGAATGAGTCTGGTGTGTGTGTGAATGGTTGGTGGTGGTGGGAGGGGCCGATGGCACAGACTGGTTGCCTCGCTTCTGTCAGTGTGCCCCAGGGCAGCTGTGGCTACAGGAGTAGTTTATCACCACCGTGTTTGGAGAGAAAGAATAATGTTGCAAAGCATCTTTGAGAATACAGAAAAGCGCTGTATAAAACCGTTGCATTATCATAATTATTATTATAAGGTGGTAAACCGAGGCAGCAGACTGGACCTGAACAGAACCAGGTTAAAGCATCGCCTCAGTGAATATGAGTAACCTCCCATTAACTGATGACCCCATCGCCTCACGCTTTCGCTGCGTTTTGTGAGAGAACATATTTGCATATTGTCATTGGGTTTTTACAGCTAGCCAAGGAAATAATAATAATGGCATTCAATAGTGAAGTGATTTACAGGTTTGATGAAGTCCCCAAAGCGCTGCAGGGAGAGCACTCTTCACTCAGAGGCAAAGAGAGCCGTCTCACTCACCACGGTCACACTGGGGCAGGTTCTGAGAGGCAGAGGAAACAGAGGACTCAGGAGTACTGCCCACTCAGCCGCCGTGTCAGCCGCCGTGCCAGCCGCCGTGCCAGCCGCCGTGCCAGCCGCCGTGCCAGCCGCCGTGCCAGCCGCCGTGCCAGCCGCCGTGCCAGCCGCCGTGCCAGCCGCCGTGCCAGCCGCCGTGCCGCCACATCACAAACTCAATGTCACCGTCTAGTGAAGTTCTTGCATGATTTGTTCTTCCAACCTCATTGTGTCTCATTTTCTCACATACCTCCGAGGGT